TGGTCTGAGCCCCCTCCTGCACCCCAAATGCCTCATCCCAGCCCCCTCCCAAGCCCACAGCCCGAGCCCCCTCCCACACACCGAACCCCTTAGCCTCACCCCTGCTGCAGATTTTTCCATGTGCAGAATGATTTTTCCTGTCTGCACCGCTCGGGAGGTGACGCGTCGCGCACCATCTCCCCGTTGGTGCACGTAACACAATCCACCCTGCACGTGGCGATGCACAATCCGAGGGAACCCTGGGCCCCGAGCCTCCTCCCCACGCCCAGCCCAGCCACAGGTTAGAAGTGCTGCCCAGCAGCTGAGACGGCGCCTTTCTCCTACACTGGAAAAGCATCCAGGAGATTGGGACGGGACCAGGCCTCCTCGTCATTAAGGCTCCGTTTTAGCCACGGAACGGTCCCGGGCAGTAAACAAAAACTCACGGCCCCTGGCCTGGCCCCTACTCCTGGCCTGGCCCCTACTCCTGCCCCACTTGTCCTGTATCCCCTGACTGAATCGTGGGGGGGTTGCCCAGCTGCTTGGACGGTTCTCGGGCCGGGCACTTTTATAAACTAAGCAAATTGCCCAGCTCTCTGGCTGGGCTGAGAGCAGCAATGGGACCTTGCATCAGGGTCTAGCAAAGCCTCGACTACCCCGTGCGGCTGGCTCAGCCCCACTGGGGCATCTGCCCCTATAGGAACCCTGCAGCCGTGCACAGGGACTCATTTCAACTGTGTCCAGCTTCCAGGTGCCCTGGTTAGCCACCATCCCCATTGCGGTGAGCAGTGATGTGAGTGAAAGGAGCCTGCAGGAGTTAATGCAGGAGGTGAGGTGGACTCAGCCGGGGCCACGTTTTCACCTGTGGCAGGGAGGGGCTTATGGCTGGGGGGTGCTGTGAAAGGTGCCCTGGGAGTGTCTGGGTCCTCCTCAGGCTGGCACGCGTTGGATGAATTTGGCTGCTCCCAAGGTGCTGGGCTGCCTTGGTCATGCCCTTTAACCGCTCTGTGCCTCAGTTTTCCCCATTTGGAACTGGTCCTAGTATTCACCTGCCTCTTGTTCGGAATTAGTTTCGTTCGCTTGAAAAATGGATTTGGAGCAAAGCGCTTGGAAGCAGCGTCTGCAGGTGGGGTTAATCCGGAATAGCCGTTCGGGACGAACTCTGGGTGTCAACCAGCACGAGGAGCGAAGGGAACGAAGCCGCTGCCTTCGACCTGGGGGGAGCAGAAGGGTTCCTCGCCGGGCAGGTGGCCAAAGAGCTCCTGGCAGATGAACCTGGAAGCTGCGTGTTCCCGGGCTGCTGCTCTCTGGGTGGGACCAGCCTGGTGGCTGCACCAGGCAAGGGGGCGGTAACCTGGCCTCGTGGTTCAGTGCGTCGGCACATTGCAGCCTGTTCCCCACCGACCAGCAGCGGCTCTGGGCTGGGGTCTGCCATCCTGGGAGTGTCAGGCCTTGCTGCTCTCCGGGGCTACCAGGATCCTGGGCTGGTGGCCCCATGGCTCTGTTCCGGAATGGGAACCGCTGCACCTCCTGGGCCTTTCTGGGAACCCAACAAGGAGCCGTCTGGGGCCAGGAACATCATGTTCCCGCCGATGGGGGACAGCCAGAGACTCTGATCACAGAAGGGAGGCCAGAGGTGGCCGGCCCAGGAGCTGGGCAGAAAGCTAATGGGGGTCCTGCCCCCCCCAGACAAGGGGTTTTCCTCAGAAGGGAGCTACCTTTGTGGGTCAGGACCCAGCTCCAAGCCAGCCGCTCAGGGGAGACTCCTCATGCAGCATAAGGCAGAAAGGATTGTCCAGTGGTTAAAGCAGGGTGGGGGGGGGGCAGGAGTTCTGGGTTTGACTCCCAGCTCTGACTCAGTGAGGCCATCAGCCCGCCCCTTCCCTGCCTCAGTTTCCCCATCTAAAAAAGGAGGCTAACAACCAGCGTTCTTTTGAATTTCTGATGTCTGTGTGCAGAATGTCTTTTGCTATGGCACCAATATGGAGGGACACAACAGAAATCATTCTGCACGCGTACAGGGGTGGCACCAAGGAGTTCAGGTGCGGGGGAGGGCTCAGGGCTGGGGCAGAGGGTTGGGGTGCAGGCTCAGTGCTGGAGATGAGGGGTTCAGGTGCAGGGGAGGGCTCAGGGCTGGGGCAGAGGGTTGGGGTGCAGGCTCAGTGCTGGAGATGAGGGGTTCAGGTGCAGGGGAGGGCTCAGGGCTGGGGCAGAGGGTTGGGGTGCAGGCTCAGTGCTGGAGATGAGGGGTTCAGGTGCAGGGGAGGGCTCAGGGCTGGGGCAGAGGGTTGGGGTGCAGGCTCAGTGCTGGAGATGAGGGGTTCAGGTGCAGGGGAGGGCTCAGGGCTGGGGCAGAGGGGAAAGGGGTTCAGGTGCGGGGGAGGGCTCAGGGCTGGGGCAGAGGGTTGGGGTGCAGGCTCAGGGCTGGGGCAGGGGGAAAGGGGTTCAGGTGCGGGGGAGGGCTCAGGGCTGGGGCAGAGGGTTGGGGTGGGGTTGGGGATGAGGGATTCAGGGTGCAGGCTGCCCCAAGGAGAGAGGACTACCTCCATGGAGGTGCCTCTCTCTGGCCGCCACAGCTCCAGGTTAGGCTGGGTGAGGACCAGGGAAGGGGCACGTCTCCCCTGGTAGCAGCATCCCTGATGGATCTCCGGCTTGGGCACTGTGGCTGGGGCCAGGCATCGCTCCCGTAGCCCTAACACAGCTGCTATAGCCGGGGGGAGGGGGGAGGGGGGAGAGGCCCCTCCCCACCAACCCCAGCCCAGAGCAGCCATGGGCAGGGCTGGGGGAGCTGCCATTACAGCTTTATGCTGGGGCCAGTGGGCAGAGGCATCTCCCTGCACAGGGCTTGTTAGGCGGCCCTGCAGCTTAGAGGGAACTTGGGTAACATTGAACTCCGCCCTTCCCAGGGATTGGTGTGGGGCTCGGCCAATGTCTGGAAAGGCTCGAGATCCTTGGAGGAAGGGCTGTCGAGGAGCAGGACGTAAACTCTTCAGGACGAGTTAGTCCAGCACCGAGCGCAGGGCGAGGCACTGGGGCAGCACCGATTCCTTGTCTTCTGTCTCCTCCTCCAGGGGAACGAAATTGACATGGTCGGCATCGGGACCAACCTGGTGACGTGCCCCCTGCAGCCCTCGCTGGGCTGCGTTTACAAGGTAACTTCCCGGGGACAGTTACTGGCCGGCCTGCAGTTCGGTTCAAAGGCCCTAGGGTGCCGAACGACAAAGGGCCGACCGGCAGTTGCACCAAACTGCGGCTTCCTGGTCAAACTGGCCACAATTCTACAATTCGCCTTTCAAGCTCATCTGGGCTCCTTGTGGGACTTCAGGGGCGTTGAGCGGTTCTGATTCCCAAACAGCGGGACTTGGCTTCCGTTTCCAGGATGGAATGGAAGGAGGCTGTGTGGCCTAGTGGTTAGGAACGGGGCGTCACAGCTGAGTTCTCATCCTAGTTTTGCTGTCTGCAAAGTGCGGGCAGCATCAGTGGCTTCGAGATGTTTGCCTGAAACGCTCCACGTGAACACACGGTGCTGGGATTCGCTAGAATTATTTTGGTGGCCGTGCTGTTGACACAATGGAAGAGAAACTCTTGGGTTGAAAATTGTGGGCAGGGAGCGCGAGACTTCACGTGCTCCCCCTCCCCAGGCCCTGATTGACGTGGGGGGAGCATGCAAAGTCTCCCATTGCCAGGACCCTAGAGGGAACCGCCAGCTGTTCAGAACCCTTCATCTCCCCCCTTCCTCCCGTAGCTGGTGCAGGTGAATGGCCGCCCCACGCTGAAGCTGACGGAGGAGGAGGAGAAGATGACCGTCCCGGGGAGCAAGGCGGTGTACAGGCTCAGGGACGCTGCCGGTGAGACTCTGACCCAGCTCTCACCCCACAAAACCAGGCAGCACCCTGGGACTACGGGCCTGGCCGGGTAGAGACGGGTCCCTCAGAGCCCTGCGGCACCGTGCCTGCAACATGCACCGCTCACGCGCCCCAGGCTTGGCTCGCGGTGCAAGGGGCGGGACTGGAGCTGGGATCGGTGGCCGCTGCGTTGGGGTCCCCGGTTCGAGTCTGGCGCAGGGCGGGAGCGAGGCTATGGCCAGGGGAGCTCTCGCAGGTGGAACCGAACGGCCCGCTAATGTGTAAAGCTCCCATCGGTCCAGCAGAAGGCCCGGGACCCCCTGGACCACAGAGGCTGACCCTTCCCCCTGGAGGCCGTCCCCCGTTTCCCTCGCGACCCCCCTCTGGCCTTGTGCCCCGGTGCTGCTCCCTGGGGGAGTTCTGCGGAGCTGGGATTTCGCCCTGCAGGAGAGAGACTCCCCCTCGGCTGACCCGGCTACTCAGCAGCCCAAAGTGCGGACAGCTCCTCCCCCTGCCCCTGGGCTGAAACTCCCCCCGCCCCTGCT